CTAGGGGGCGCGCCCCACAGTTTGGGAACCTCTGACATAGAGAATATACATCTGATGCAGAACCTTCTTAATATTCATCTTCAAAGTTTTGAATTGATATGAGAATGAGTCTGGTCTTCTATGAAGCGGTAAATCTACTCACGCCCAGAAGTCTTCAACGGTGTCGAACTTGGAGATGAGCCGGAGGTTGGCCTGCCACGTTTTGCTTTTGTCATTTTTGAAGAACCACAGAGCCCACCTGGAAAAACGAGAAGACCCTCAGAGAAGCACGGCTGCGTGCAATATTTGGAAACTGCATAAATCTTTATCTGTGCAGCTTTCATGCTGGGCTCAAACACCTCATGTCCAAACTGTCATAAATCACAACAATAGGCAAACAGACATTTATGCCCCAGTCATAAACCTCACAAATTTGACCTTAAAATGAACATCTTAACAATTTAATAAAAATGTTTTTTAAACTTATTTTGTAGCAGAGACATGAAAGAAGAACTTGCCTGTTTTGTAAAGGATGTTTGATGTAACCTTCAGGACTCACAACCTTCTGCAGAGTTTTCTCACAGTTCTCCTTTTCCGAATTAACAGGAACTGAACTCGTCTGTTTGGAGGAAGATAAACACTTGAAGAAACAGAAAAAAGGGTTGATAAACTGATGGAAAAATGGATAGATACCAGGACAGGAAACGACCTCAATTTGGATCTGGAAAATAGCTTCCAGACTGGGTTCATCTCATGTCAGCCTCCGTTTCAAATAATAATAAATTCAATATTAAATAGACCCACAGATTTCTGGTTGCCAAAAACTTTTGCTTGCCAGAAGTGACGGGAACCGAGCTTTAACCCCACATCACCAGGAGCAGAACCAGCTGACGTAAACGTTAACGTCCTACTCCAGTCCGGGTTCCCATTCATTCCAACAGCAACAGTTTGATTCACCGACTCAACTGTTCTAAACGGTCCGAATAAATCTATGATGTGTGGTTCCGAATCAAACGTAACTCCGGTGCAAGTTCTGGTAAAAGCAAGTTCAGCAAGCAGTGACTGAACCGAACAACTCCATTGAAATCATCTTGTTGGATCCGTGACACTAACTTCATGTGAAGCTAACGAGCTAGCTGGCAGAGTTTGGACCTTCATCCGCTTTTCTGGTTCCCGCTTCGAACCGCCACTAACTTTCCCTTCACTGTATGTGTGTTGAGTGGTGGATAAATTCTGTTTTCAGGCCCGTCACAGCCCACCTGGACCGATTCGGCTAACAACAGGGATGTATGGGACTCACCATTACAGCGGTCGCCATCTTCTGGAGTCAATTTTCTGCTTTTTGGCGTGTTAAAATAGTTTCAGGTTGCGCATGCGCACTCGGATTTACAGAAAAAGAACATGTTCACCCCAAACATATTTAAAAAAATCAATAAAAAAAGTTATGCATTGAGAAATTATTCTGCATGGTTTATTTGAAGAATATGAAATAACTTAAATAACAAGTTATTGTAGAATTTTGCAAATATATGTACATACTTATTCACTTCAGTTAAAAAAATATTTTGAGGTAAATTAAATGTTTTAACTCAATCTTCAGAGTTGTAGATGCTCCTGTAGTGGTCAGTAGCACGACGGTTCTGAAGAAGCCTCTGACTGAAGACACTCTGGTGCTGTGCTAATTAGCAGAAGGGGTTGTTTCCTTTCAAAGAATTATAATTGAATTAATTCCTAACCTCATTTGTTAATTTTAGGGAACCAGGAAATGTAGTTCAAATCACACCTGCAGGGATTAAATTAACAGAACAGGTGATAAAGATGGGCTGACAAGATTGACACACTTCATCAATAATTAATGCTTTTAACCTTCTGGAGTTTTTCAGTTTAACCTTTCAGCACCCTATAGTCGTGATGCCTTTATGAACCCACTGGAAAGCCCAGAACCCGTCTACTCCAGAAGAATATCTGTTGAATCAAAGGCTGCCAGAGAGAGAGGGCCCACAGCTGGCAGAACCAGGAGCAAAAGCTGCTCTAGAGAAAGTCACCTGCCTCCAGACTGAACGCTCTGCACTTTTCTGTCTGTTCAGTGACCCATGGCGTTTTCTGGCATCAGAACAAAGTCCAAATGAGTTTAGTTTTTAAGAGGAAGACGTGAAGATCTTCAATCACTCTGAACTTTCAATTTCCTGTTTCACTTTAACAATGAAATGAGATCAATAAGATAAACCTGAAAGCTGCTGCTTCAGTTCCTCCCACATTATTGATGTGTATCGTTAAGGCACAATTTCTACATTTTATAATGTAGGAGTTTTCAGTTTCTACGTGTAGGAGCTCCTAATGCATGGTGTGTGAGCTTCAGGAAGACTCATCTTTCAGTACTAAATACATTTCATTTCAAGAATAAGCACCAAACTTGTTTTTGTCAAGTCAGAAAATGACCATACATCATTAAAAGACAAATAGTCAAAAGTAGCAAGTTAAATGTTTTAATAAGATTTTCTAAACAGAGTTCATGATTTAACGGTTCTGCTGTTAAAGAGCTTCTTCTAAACACTGGAATTTATATCCAAATAAGTGTGGAGAGGCAAGTGCTGGAACTGGTACTGGGATGGAGCTTCTTTAAGGCTGGATGTGACAAATGTTTTAGGCAGATCACAAAGTCAGCACGCTCCGGATGCTGCAAACAAACAAAAGGCAGAAAAGGCATCAGGATACAGACAAAGCATAATGCAATAAAACTAACGATATCAAAACTAAAGCCACAGCATAATGGTCTGACTGATTTGCATGATTATCAGTTTTCTACCTCTTTCCGGCGTGCATCAGGTCAAATGCTTCATTGATCTTCTCAAACGGCAGAGTGTGAGTAACAAACTGGTCCACCTTCAACTTTTTATTCATGTATTCTTCCACCAGTTTAGGAACGCTCTCCACACTCTTCCAGCCTGGAGGAACAACAGCTTCATTGAGGGACAGAGTTACAGACTGAAGCCTCATCAGAAAGGTTCAGAAGTGTTCCCCACCTCCGAACGCCGTGCCCCTCCACACTCTGCCCGTCACCAGCTGGAACGGCCTGGTGGAGATCTCCTGTCCCGCTCCTGCCACGCCGATGATGACGCTCTCCCCCCAGCCTTTGTGACACGCCTCCAGAGCAGCTCTCTGAGGAGAGACGGTCATGTTGCTGCAATCCATTTATCATCTCATCTCAACCAGTAACAACGTCTCACCATGATTTGCACATTTCCGATGCATTCGAATGAGTAATCCACGCCGCCGTCAGTCATCTCCACCAGAACCTCCTGGATGGGCCTGCTGTGATCCTTCGGGTTCACAAACTCTGTGGCTCCAAACTCTTTGGCCTTCTCAAACTTGTCGGGGTTGATGTCAACACCAATGATTCTGGTTGCTCCAGCAACCTTGCAGCCCATGATGGCAGCCAAACCGACGGCGCCAAGTCCGAACACAGCGCACGTGGAACCGGGTTCGACCTGTGAGAAGGGGCCAACATTTCTGAGAATTAATGGCTGAAATCATAGGATAATGGTCTGACTAGTCGATTTGTAGACAGAAAATTAACTTGTTTCGGTTGGTGAAATCTTACACAACACCACAGATAAAGATCTTAATATTTCTTGGTTTTTTGGAACCTGTTGGCTACATCAGGGCAGCATGAAAACTGGGAATCAAATATGCATAATGCATTTGTTTTATGAATAATTCTGCAACAAAGTATCAGGGCATTTCATAATTTGTTTATTTTTCTTTTAAATTAAGCTTTTTTTTTTATTCTTTTCTGTGTTTATATTGTTTAGACGCAAAACATCCTTGAGCACCCTAGTAGTAGTAAGATTAATAATAGTTTTATTTCCTGATGAACCGCCTCCGAGACTCACCTTGGCAGTGTTCAGAGCAGCTCCATAACCCGTGGAAATCCCACATCCCAGAAGGCAGACTTTATCCAGCGGAGCTTTCTCATTAACCTTAGCCAGCGAGATGTCGGCCACCACCGTGTACTCAGAGAAGGTGCTGGTCCCCATGAAGTGGAACACCTGCTTCCCTTTGCAGGTGAAGCGTGACGTCTTGTCGGGGAGCAGGCCCTGACCCTGGGTGACTCTGCAGGTTGAAGAAACATGGTGGATCCATGAGGACACATTCTTACTAATGTCTGAGTTTCCATTCGGTTTGTGTTTTTAAATGTCACCTAATTTTCTGGCACAGGTTGGTCTTTGGGTTTTTGCAGAATTTGCATTCACCACACTGAGGCACATATAAAGGGATGACAGTATCACCTGGGAGAGAATAACTCTGAATTAAAAACACAAATAACACAGCCCACCTGTATATTTATGCACCGCTCCTTACCTGGTTTGAACTTAGTGACGCCCTCACCAACGCTCTCCACAGTTCCAGCACCTTCATGTCCGAGGATGACAGGGAAAAGTCCCTCTGGGTCACTGCCACTCAGGGTGTAAGCATCGGTGTGACAAACCCCAGTAGCAAGAATCTAGGAGGTTTAGCAGCACATTATGAGCCTTTTATATTTCAAATATTAACCAACTTACAGGACAGAACAAATTATTACAGTAGGAAAGATAAATTATTGAGGAGAACTTTATGACTCTTACAGCTTCAGTGTGTGTGTCGTAGAGTAGCAACCAATATGTTAAGACCATAAAAAAATAGTACTGTACTTTAATAATTCAAAGAGCAACAAAACTGGAATAAGAAATATTCTGCTTCAAGAGTAAAAAGTCTTAAAATGCAAACTGTGGTTTTCAGTTCAAGAATACTTGATACATGTCAGAATTTGATGCAGCCTGAAGTATCAGCATATTTTAAAAGGGTTTCCCTGCTGGGTTATGAGCTTATAATGAGTAAAAAGCAGGTGACATTCTGGATCCTGTTTGAGGCGTTCACAGTGAGTCTGGATCTGGAAGATGTGGTTCTGATAGAGGAAGAGGCCGGATCTTCCACTTACACCTTGGAAAATATCCAGAAGCCCAACTTAAAAATTTAACACTTTGTTCTTAGAGAACTTCTGGCATTTTTGTCAATAAGTTTAGACTTTATAGTGTCAGAAATTATAGTCAGTAATTAATGACAGCAAATCATAAAGTAAATGTATGATCGTTTTAATATTACGAATGTATGCTTTGAATCATTAAAAAAAAAATCTTATTTTACAACTTCTTTTCTTGTAAACATTTAAAATTAGCTAATCAATTTCTGAGCGTTTTGGCAGTAATTTTCTCCTCATGAACAACATTTTCCACATTTATCCTCACATCAGAATCCACAAACTGAACAGGTTTGAATGGAAAGCAAAGGGCCTAAAAATGACATCAGAATGCTCATTCAAGAGGGATTACTTTAATATTCACCACTTTAGAAAATTGGGCTAAAATCAGATTAAAATTCACCTTAATGCGAACTTCATGAGCCTTGGGTGGAGCAACCTCCACCTCCTCAATGGAGAGAGGCTTCCCTGCTTCCCAGGCAACAGCTGCCTTGCATTTGATCACCTGCAGGAAAAAAAAAACGGAGAATTAAACATCAACTATGTGTTGCAACAAGAACAAGTACCTCCTGTTATGCTGTGCATGCCAAAGGTCCCACAGTGCAGTCAGTTCCTGTATTTTCCTGCTGAAGCCTCTCGCTGCTTAGTTTAGTTTAATCTCTGCAGTTAACAGAGCTGCGTGATGCTCATTTTACCGCCAACAGAGAAATGCTTTAAATGTTGTTTTCATTGCATTACTTTTGCTTAAATCAGAGGAAAGACGGAGACCACGCTTAAGTGGCAGAAGCGGGGGAATCCTGAAAGTACCAGCTGGAACCGACCTGCTAAAGGTCCCTGCTGCTCAGTCTGCAGACCCAAATTCTTTGTTGTGATTCATTCAACACGCTTCTGTAAAAACCTCCATCTTGGCTCTCAGAACTTCAAGCTCTAACTAAACATGAACACTTTTAAAGCGTTTACTTTTCTGTCTTCACGCGGAGTAAAAATGCATACGAAATATTTCTGGTTTAGTTTGTGGAAACTTACTTTCCCAGCTGTCTCCATGTTCGTTCCTTCTGCAACGAGGAGGCGGAGGATGCCGAGCAGCCGTAAAGGACTCAACCTCTAAGCCAATCAGAAGCGACAACGCTCAGCGTGCGTATGACGTCAGCTTGGTTAAAGGAGCGAAAACTGGGTCGAACAAGATGTTATAAATCA